ACAGAGGGGTTTGGCAGTATGGTACATTCAGAACAATGGGAATAATATGACATGACACAAGCCACTGAGTAGGCTGTATCATTCAGTTGCTGGGTTTAGAGAGTCAAAACTGGGAAAGCAAGATTCTGGAAGCCTAAGAAGGAAATATGTACAGCATTAAGCTCTTTATACTTTCTGAAGTGTAAACAAAAACTGTGCTACAGCTTTTGCTTTGAAGCCAGTCATGAGAACACTTCATTGTTTCAATTGATCTAAATTGTTGGAGCCCAACTTCTTAACCTAAACTTACAAAGACTTCAAAACAGATGGTTTTCCTTGTAAGGATTAACATGTGAGACAGTAGAAGGTGGAATTGAGCAAGAAAAGGAAAATGCTGAATTTTTCTCCTGAACTGTTTTTTCCCCTAAAATGCTCTTAAAGCTAAAGAAAGATGGAGGAGATGTATTTAACTCCTCGTCAATTAAGATGAACCCAGAGGGAAAAACAATCACATCCCTCTTCTTTAGTTGCCTGTAACCATACCCTTATCAGAGTAGGATCTTCAAAAATTCAGGAATAACAATACAAAATGATCAAGAATATGTAATTTGATCTGTTTTAAAGTGAGGAGCACATCGCAGAATGTCTAAAGGAAAGTTTTTTAAAAGCAGAATAAGAGGTCATGCCATCTGAAGAATAACTGATTGAAAAAAGAGGAGTGAATCACTCATAGAGGCTTTAGCATGCATTGTCCTACTATTAGGATTTCTGGATTTGTTCCATCTAGGCTGTGATTGTGTAATGAATGTGCACGTTGTTTTCAACTAGGCACAGTAAGTTCATTTTTTTTCGGAAAGCCTCCAAAACACTGCACTCATTTCTACCTAGAGAACGTTGGACAAATAGGAAAATACTCTTTGAAAGTCCAGTATGATGTCAATGTTAATGATAGTGATAGAAAACCTGAAATTAGGGTGTGCCTGTCCGTGTCCATTTATGTGCTTGCATAGTTCCTGATGGAAACAACAAGCATTTCTGAAAACCCGGAGAGCAGAGGCAATGGGTTGACTTGTCTGAGATTCAGTGGAGTGGTTCAGCCACCATTAATTGTACAATAATGTAGAATTATGAGTGCCTAAGTGTAAACAGAAAAAACAACACTTTTGTTAGGGTGAAGTTAGTCAACAGATGGCATATAGACCACCAATAGTTTATAAAACATCAGCTGTCTGGTATAATTTCTACACATAAGTGTCCTTGACATTGATAAGTCAGTACATGCCACGTAGCAGAACTGGGAGCTGAATTTTTATAAATATCACATCATTAAAATGGTGAGAATTTTAAAAAAATGTTTGGTTATAAATAAAATCAAGACAGTTAGTATTTTTGGTAAGCAATATGCAAAAACACACAAGTTGGTCTGTAGGCTATTAAAAAGCTGTTTGATTCTTTGCTTAAGATTTGACAGTCATGACCACATATGTAGTAAAACTTAAGTTGTAGTTACCACCAAACACTGCCTCTTTACAGTTTTTGACCTAAGTATACTAAATCTCCCCTTTCAGGTCCTAAGAGTGTCTGTGAAATGTTATGTCCTGGTGTGTGCTGGAAGTGCTGCTCTAAGATTATAAGGAAATGTAAGAATCACAGAATTATAGAATGGTTTGGGATGGAAGTGGACCTTGAATATCATCTAGTTCCAACCCCTCTGCCATGGGCAGAAACATCATCCACTAGACCAGGTTGTTCAGAGCTTCATCCAACCTGACCTTAAACACTTTCAGGGATGGGGTATACACAACTTTGCTGGACAACCTGTCCCACTGCCTCACCCTCTCACTGTAAAGAATTTCTTCTTAATATCTAATCTAAACCTATTCTTGGTGAAGTTTGAAACCATTCCCCTTTGTCCTGTCACTACATGCAGTCTCTCTCCATCATTCTCGTGGGCTCCCTTCAGGTACTGGAAGGCCACAGTTAGTCACCCTGAAACCTTCTCCTTTCCAGGCTAACAAGCACAATTCCCTCAGCCTGTCCTCATAGGAAAGGTGCTCCATCCCTCTAATCATCTTGGTGGCTCTACTCTGGAGTCGCTCCAGTAGGTCCATGTCTTTTCCTGTGCTGAGGACCCCAGAGCTGGATGCAGCACTCCAGGTGGGGTCTCACCAGAGCAGAGCAGAGGGGCAGAATCCCCTCCCTCGACCTGCTGCCCACACTGCTCTGGATGCAGCCCAGGATACAATTTTGGCTTTCTGGGGTGCAAGTGCACATTGCTGGCTCATGTCCAGCCACTCATCCACCAGCACCCCCAAGTCCTTCTTGGCAGGGCTGCTCTCAATCTGTTTATCCCCCAGCCTGTATTAATACTGACCAGCAGCACCTTGCACTTGGTCTTGTTAAACCTCAAGAGACTGCCATGGGCCCAGTTCTCAAGCTTGTATGTGGGAGGACTTACCTCTAATTTTCAATTAGACTGGCAACATTTTACATAGGTGACAGGTAGGTCATCTGCAATCAGATACTAAAAAAAATTAGTTTTGCAGAAAAGTAGAAGAAACAATGAAGAGGTAAGGTTCCAAAAGCTGCCAGAACTCATACAGTGAAACAAGAACTTGATTTTATAGCATAAGGAATTGGAGCACATAGGCTTAAAACTGTTCAAAACAACTTTTCAAAAAGACATGGATGCTTCTGTGGAAAAGAGGGCAATAATAATGGTAGCAGCTGGAAAATGCCTCAGTGCTAGTCTACAGATAAAAGAGATGCATAGGGTGCTTGAAGAATAATTTGAAATCGACAAATGTGGCTATAAAACAAGCATCATTTAGATCAGAAACCAGATAGCAACTCGGAGGTGGTACACATTATTAACTTTGATTGCCTTCCTTAACTGCTGCAAACTTAAAAGAAGCCTTGTCATCTTAAAAGCACAGCAGCACCTGGTATGGTCTCCTCTACTACTCTCCTTTTATAGACAGGAGTTCCCCCAAAGCCCACTGAAGAAAAATAACATTTGTAAGAAACAGTTCTTACAGGCTGGCTAGACTGAAGTCCATGTGCATTTTCCCCTAAAGTGTTTTCCATGTGAAAGTCTTGTCCCCACACTATCTTTTACATTCTTTGTTTCTGTTAGTGATATGAATAGTGAAGCTTATGAATAAGGACAAGAATAGAACTCCATTGCAAAGATCTAGTTGTTGGGTGAGTTTTGTAATTGGTTTGGATTTTTTGAGTTTGTTTTTTTGGTCGCTTTTTTTAATTGAATTCTCTCTTCTAAGCAAGGAGACAACTCAGATTGGTGGTCCCAGGTCAGTATGATCTCCTCTCTCCCAGTTTGTTCAAAATTATGAGTTTCTAGTTTACTCCTCCTGAAAGCTTGTAAATATCAGTGATTTTTAAATCAAGCTTGCCCTGCTTTCTTTAATGGCTTGTAGAAATGCAGGAATCTTGGATTTTTTTGTTTTCTTGATTAAGCGGGCAGCAAACACTGCAGGAAAAGAACTCAAGCAGTATCACGTCTGCAAATTCCTTTAGGGATGAAACATGAAGTGACGTGTGACACTTCTCAGCCTGGATACAGAAGGCTAGGCACTGGGCAAGCTTCTTTCCTCACATGACACCTCTTTGACAGGAACAAAAGTTTTTGTGCATTGGCATACTGATTTTAGAGTGACCATTCAACCAGAGTAAGACACTACACAAAAAAAAAAAAAAGGACATTTAAATGAAACAACACTTCTCTTTGGGCATTTATTTTACTGGGGTTTAAATCTTTTTGAACAATTTGCTTACAGAAAATTAAATGCTTGTATATATATATGTACATCTTTTATATATATACACATATATATTTATATATATATATATATATAAAAGAAGTACATGAATTAAACATTATTGGGTTTTAAAACTCCTAGTATACAATTTAAATAAACCCTAATTTGAATCTTGGTCTTAGCGCTATTGATATTTTGCATGTCACAGCACCCCTAAAGTAACATTTACATGATGAATATTTTTACCTTTCTTGCATTTACTATTCCAGTTGGTACAAAAACACTTGCAGGCTGACAAAAAACAAGACAAGCAAAGTAGAAGCTGAGGATGGAGAACATAGCTATTGCCTTAATGACAGGCTTCCAAAGTAGCCAAATTCACACATCTTTTCAATGTGCAGTGCTCTCCACATAGACAATTCATACCAAGTTTGTTTGTTTGTTTTAGTTTTCAAGTGTAAAATGATCAAGAAGAACCAGACTAAGAAACTTAATTTCCTAATGTCAAAATATTAACTGTGGTATTTGATATCTAAGGTGGATAACTGTGAATTAAATCCTTGCTTTATTAGAGAGTCATAATGTCATTTTCCTATCTTTGTCTCTTTTAACTTACACGTCAGTAAATATTGCATCCCAAACATTAGTGTGGATACCATGTATTGCCATAATCCTTATGAATGCTGCAAAGGATATGAGCATATTTGGCTCTTGGAAGATTTTCTGTAAGAGCCACCTTTGTTGCTGATGAAGAGCTCAAATTACAACTAGATGATCTCAATCACTTTCACAGTGATGAAAGGCTCCTGTAGTGGTGTACATGGCTCAGGGCATCCATGTGTTAGAAAAAACCCCAAATCCAGTGCCTCTCACAATTCAGCAAACGGAGGGGACAGAGGAAGGGACAAACTTGAGTCATATGGCCTTCAAAATTGTTCAAATGAATCTTGACTCTTTGGTGCTCACTTAAAATTTGTACAGTATGCTGGATGAGCAACTAGTTGGAAACAGATAGTGCTTTATTTTCAATAACTGATGAACAGCTTTCTAAAGCTTTTTCCAGTGCTGCACAGCATATGAAAGTCTTATTTCAAATTCAGAAAACAAGTAATCTCAAGCACTTCTTGCTCTCCAGCCACTGAAAGCTCAAATTATGGAGATTACTATTTTTTTTCTTTATTCTTTATATTAACTCTACCCATGCACTTATCAAATTTTCTTACATTCTTATGTAGTTGGGGGTTTTTTTGTGCAGATATACAGTATTCTATTCCTACTCCCAGGTCAACTCACTGCTTGCTAGGGAACAGCAGCATTTGTCCCATTCATGTTGTTTGCTAAGTGGATGGTGCTAGGCCAGCTAGAAAGGAATTCACGTTGCAACCATTTCTGCCAGTGGGATGCTAATTTGGAACTCTTTCCTGTGCCTGCTGCCTGAAAGAAAAACATTAAAAAAAATAAAAAAATCTTTTCAGTCAAACTCATCTTTTCCCTGTAAGAGAAATTAGGGCAGATGTAATTGCACAAAAGCTTTTCCATCAAGCTGTACAACTTCAGACAAATACAAACCTTGGGAACCTTGCAGATGACTTCCTTATCATCTATGATAGACTAACAGAACCCCTAAGGGTTCCCTTAGGACCTGAGGCAGCGGCATGAAGCTGTGTCAGGGGTGTTTAAGTTGGATATTAGGTGAAATTTCTTCACCTAGAGGGTGGCTGGGCACTGGAACAGGCTCCCCAGGGAAGTGGTCACAGCACCAAGTCTGAAGAGCTCAAGGAGCTCTCAGGCACATGATGTGATTCTTGGGGTGGCCCTGTGCAGGGCCAGGATGATCTTTGTGGGTCCCTTCCCACTCAGGGTGTTCTAGGAATATCTCGAACTTACCTTTGCTTTTAACACGTATCAGAGGTTCAGGTGTTTAATACCTGAAGCTGAACTTCTGAGTTTCAGGTGTGTTAATAATTTACTATTTACCACAAGCATTTGAGGTGGGTTACTCAGCTTCATCAATTTGTGCAATTGCGAAGATTCCTGCCAGCTCTCTTCAACCTTACCTGGACGAAAACTTATATTGGCAGCTTAACATGAGGTACAAGACGGTGGTGGGACGCATCTTAACCAACATCCAACTGTGCTCTCCGTCATGAGCTGTTTGCTTATTTTATGTTAATTGAACCGGCCCACAGCACAGAACATTTTGAAGTGCCCCGGTGATCACTGAGGAAAAAATATCCACAACGCAGACAGCAGTGTAAAGGATGCCTTTCGAAGGAACCTTTCTGCAGAATTTGCGTGCCCCTTTTTCCCTTTCCCTTGGAGCGGTTAGCCAGGCTCCTTCTGAGCTCCGGGCAGGAGAGCTCTTCTGAGCACGACCCGTCGGAGGCGGGGGGGACCCTCGCACCGAGCCTCCCGAGGAGTGACAGCCAGGAGCATGGGGCGCTTCCCACGCTCCCGCCGCGCCTTGGGCCGGACGGACTGCGTTCTTTTAGGACCCCCAGCCCGAACGCCGCACACCGGCGAGCCAGTGCGAAGGCGAAAGCCAGTCGGAAGCAGATTAAAAAAAAAAAAAAAAAAGAAGAAAAAAAAAAAGAAAAAAGAGAGAGAAAAACAATCAAAGCCCGAACAACAAACAGACGGCTCCTTGCCCCCTCGGCCGGTCCGCCGGACGGGCACTCCCCGCCGCCGCGCCCCCGCCGATCGGGTGCGAGCTCGGCGGCAGCTCCGCCGACCTGCACCGCCCAGCCCCGCCCCATCCCGACCGGTGCCGGATGCAGCCGGAGACTCCCGCCCCCCCCCCCCCCCCCGCTCCACCGCCCTTGTTCCTCGGGCGGGGACTCGCTTCCTTTCCCGACTCCCCCTTCCCACCCTCCTCCTCCTCCTAGTCAAGATGGAGGACGGCGGTTGCTGCGGCCACTGGCAGTACGGCGGCTAGAGCAGCTGCTGCTCCTCCGGATCGCTCCTCGCTCCCTCAAAAAAAAAAAAAAAAAAAAAAAAGAAAAAAAAGAAAAAAAAAGAAAAAAAAAAGAAAAAAAGGAAAAGAACAAAAAGGCTGGAAACGTTCCTTCTTTCTCCGCCCACCGGCTGCTGGCTGCGCGGACCGCTGGCCCTTCCCATGCCGTCGTCGTCGTCGTCGTCGCCCTCCTCCTCCTCCTCCTCCTCCTCCTGCGATTGTCTGCGTTCCGGCTGCCGCCCCCCCCCCCCCCCCGGCCCCCCGCCGTCACACGCCGCCTCCTAGGTGGCTGCGGGGGGTGGGCGCTCCTGGAGCTGCCATTCCGCACATACCTTCATGTCCCTACGCTCGCTGCGGCCGCCCGCCGCCGCCCTGCATCGCTCGCCCGCTCCGGCTGCCGCCTTGACGGCCGCTCCCGCCCGGAGGTGAAGCCGGGACCCGCGGAGGGGGCGGTGGGGTCAGCGGTGGGTCTCGCCCGGAGGAGCCACCGCCGCCGGCACACGCAGCAGCAGCAGCAGGAGCAGCCATGAGCAGCGCCGCTACCGCCACCTCCGCCGCCACCACGGCCGGCAGCGGCGCGGGGGAAGGGGCCGAGGAGGCGGCCAAGGACTCGGCGGACATCGCGGCGTTCTTCCGATCCGGTGAGTGCGGTCCCGTCCCGGGGGAGCGGAAAGGCAGGGCCAGCGGCGAGACCGCGGCTGGAGGTAGCGGCGAAAGGTGGCCCTGGGCAAGCGACGTCTTACCCGCGGATCCGGGAGGGCAGTCGGCTTTGTCAGGTGGCCTCGGGGAAGGCTCGTCCGCCCCTCGCTGACGGGGCTGCCTCGGCATTGCCCGTCCGTGCGGGGCGCCGCCACCGTCGCCGCCGCCGCGCTTCCTCGAGGCGGCGGCGGCGGAGGGAGCCGAGCCTCCCTCGTCCCGTGCCGGGGACAGCGGAGCTTAGGCTCAGGCACTGAGCAACTCGCGGGCGGGACGCCACCCTCACCAGGAGAACCGAGGCGTGAAAACGAGCGCGGCGGCGGCCCTGCCCGGCCGGGAGGGTGCGGGGCTGATGTTGCCCCGGGGCGGTGTCGCCGTTGACAGGTGCGACTCTGCCTCCGATGCCGGCCCGATAGCGGGCGCGTCACCCGGGGCCAGGCGGCACCACACAGCGTCAGGCGGACCCGAGCCCCCCGAAAATGTCCCGCCGGGGGTTGCGGGCGGAGGACCCGCTCGGGTCCGGCAGCCCAGGGTGTCGAGAGGGCGGAAAGGGTGAACGGGGCTGCGGGGCGCGGGCTGCGCCGGCCGGGCCCCCCGGGGAGGCAGGTGGGGATGACACCGCTATAAAAGGCAGTGCTCCGCCGGTGCCGTGCTGCTGGGTGGCGGCCCAGGGCAGGAGTGGGAGAGGGCAGCGTGGAGAGCAGATGTTACAGCGAGAAGGGAAAGAGGCAGACAAAAAGCGAAGCCCACTTTAAGAGGTGTCCCTGCCTTGGCTGAGGCGGGGCAGTAGCGGCTCTCGGGCGCTGCCGGGCTGGGAAGCCGGGCTCGGTGCGGCGGATCGGGAGGGGAAGGCGGGGGGGGGGGGGGGGGCCGGTTGGCGGGCGGCGGGGATAAAAAAAAAAAAAAAAATGGAGGCCGCCTTTTCCCTCAGTGTTTACTCTCGGCACACAACCGGGCGGGCAGGGCGGCTGCCCCCGCCGCCCAGACGGTGTCCCCGGGGCATAGCGGCGGGGACGGAGGGCAAGGCTGGACTGCCCGGGCCAGACGAAGCGCCATCGGGGACGGAGCCCTGCCGGTAGCCTGGGCGGCGGTGGCGGCAGCGGAGCCTCCCTCCGGTGCCGGCTGCCCTCCCCCGAGCGGCGGCAGCTCCTCCCCTCTCTACGCTTCGCTCCGCCGGCGGCTCCGCGCCCCCCCGGGCACCCCCGGCCACCGCTCCCGGGCGGGGAGGCAGGGCTGGGCATTTGCTCCGTTGGGATGCCTAAAAAGGAGCGGCGAACAAGGAAAATGCAGACTCACCGCTAGAAAGATGAGGGCGATGGCCGATTTAGTGTCTGAAAAATAATAGTGATGGCAGTAGTAATAATACTAGTAAAAGCAGTGTTCATTGGGTTTTTAAGGGAAGTCCGTGAGGGAAGTGGGAAACGGCGTAATCAGTGCTGCTCGCGGTCGCTGCATGCTGTTCGGTGTGTTTGATTTAATGAGAGCGAAGGAGGAGGTGTGATTTGCAGCAGACATCCCTGAAAGAGCACTCGGAGCTGCGTTTCTGTGGACAGAGAGTCCGAACAGGGGGCTGTGTCCCCTCCGGAGGGCTTGATGCTCCCAAGGCAACCTGTTTCACGGGACAGCAATGAGCATGAAACTCCTTGTCGAGTCAAGATGCTGGCCTTGGTGGATTTCTTCTTGGAAGAAGGACTGAGCTTTATTGTTCTCAGGAAAAAATCCCGTTGAAAGCAAAATGACAGATTACAGTAGACTTAAACACAGGAGTTACAAATGGGTACTTGTGTAGTAATCTTGCAGTTTTGGAAGACCCTGCCAGCTATATTAATAGTCAACTTCCACATTTGTGTTTCAGTATAGAGGGATGACACAAAGTTGATAAACTCATAAGTGGTGTAGTGATGACTTCCGATGCTGAGAATTTTTGATAACGGGGAGGTTACACTGAGCTTACTCTTGCAGCGACCGAAAATCTTAAAGTAGTAGAAGGACATGTCAAATGCTTATCGAAAAACTCTTAGAGCGTATTTAACAACTGACATTCTCATTTCTGTATTTACTTGTGGAGATTATCTGGTTCGGCCTGGGCTGCGACATATGCTGGAAAATGTTCCGGCATCTATTGTGGCTGTTTGGTATTGGGAAGAGTTCTTTGAATTCTGCCTCTGTACATGATACACTCTTTTATAAGGAAAGGGTCTGTTAAGAGACCTCCAGTGCTTCTCTTTGTTTGAACAGGAGGCACTTTTTTTTTTCCAGTGAAACGCAGTGGGCTTTGTGATCAATGAACAAGGAAAAAACTTTGTTTGGTGTATAGGAGCAGACAAAATATTTTTCTCTCTACAGAATTTAGAATGACAAATGCTTCCTTTTTCCTGTCACTTGCAGAGAATATCATCAAAGCTGTATCTGTTACTTAAAAGAGAAAAAGAGTAAAAATGTTCCAACGTTTTCCAGAAGGAAAAAAACCTCAACCAAACCCAACAACAAAAGACCTGCCTAAACAATAAATTCTAATTCTAGGTTAGTTAAATTGGTCAGTTGAGCTGCCAAGTGGGTTTATTGGCTTTCCTCCTGTCCTCTTGTAAGACTAAGTCTGAAGCAGAATTAAAGTAGCCTGGAGAATGGAGTTCCATTATTTGGAAAATGTTTTGTTAGGATACTGAACGGCAGCTAGGTTCACATCACTTGAAATGTGTGCATTTCCAGTTTTCACTTTGGTTATGTAAATGTAAACTCACTCTTGAGTTGTTGTGGAAATAAGTTGCAATTGAAATGTGAAGAAAGCAGCTGAACTAGAAGTGAGGTAGTAGTATGAACACATAAAGATTGTATGTCTTGAATATAAATTAGGAATTCCTTTATTGGAATGGGAAGATATTGAGACAGCTTACTTTCTGTTACCTATTTGGTATCTAAATCTTATTATTTGAAGTTGAAAAGACAAAACAACCTTGTTAGATCTGTCACTTTCTTCATGGCAGGATTAAGAGTAAAACTGCTAAGAAGCAGAGTTTAGTGCCAGGCAAAGTGATTGCACTATGACAGAGAAAACACAGCAGTTGTAGGAAGTACCTTTCTGTCCTATATGTAAATTTGAAATTAGAGATAACCGTGTAAGACAGAAGGGATATGTTTTGAACTGTAAATGTATAGACAAGCATCTCTTTTTTTCTTATTAGGAGTGCACTGGTGTGACTTGAAAGGACTAGTAAAATATCTGAGAATTACGAAAAAAAGACTACCACTGTATGGAAACCCAGTGGTGCAGAGTGTAAATGGCTGGGTAGAGGGATGTTAATACGTATGTTAAGTAAACAAGATCTATGCTTTATGAAAAGGTATTAAGATAAAACTTTTCAAAATGTATTCTATGTATTTGAAAGGTCTGAAAACATCTAACATGAGCGAAGTTGAATTTGACAGAGTGCCATCAAGTCACGGCTTACAGGGCAGCAACCATACAGAGGTTTTGTTTGGTGGTTGTTGCTTTAGTCTTCATCTTTGCAGCTTTCAGTCCTCAATACTTTGGGAAGGAGACTCAACTGACATCTTTATGATGTAAGAATGAGGGCTGTCTCTTAAGTTGAAATCATCCTGTTATAACAGTGTCTTCCAAACCAAAGAATTTTTGCTAGTTGAAGTTACTGAATTTTGTTTTTAGGCATAAAGAATAAAACTTTTTTCATCTAAAAAAAATACATTGATTTGAACATTTAGTAATTAAACTCATCCTTCTGGGATGATGGAGAAGTCTGTGAATACAAAAGGATGCGGAGAGAAAAGCTTGTAAGCACTTTAGTCAGCTCCTGGCTAGACACTGTAGCAAATGGCTTTATAAATGAGTCTGATAAGTCGTTGTGGAAAAAAACCAACCCAGGTTATCAAGTGAGAACTCTTCACAGTTTTGAGATGAAAGTGAATGTAGTCGTTTCCCGTAAGATATATTTTGTATG